AGATCCTGAAGGAGTTGGCGTTGAGCGCGCTGCCCGAGCTTTGAGCATGGCTTACATTTGGGGCTCATGTTGCTAAGGACTGTCACACAAAAGGGATGGGGGATTGGTGGAAGTTGGAGGGCCCCCCTTGCGCGCGCCTTCCGCGCACCTTCCGCGCGCCTTGCGCGCGGAACCCAATCTAAAACTGATTTTGGCGGGTTTGCGCATCACATTGTGATGTCCGTGCATGTACTTTGGCCTCCACATCCTCGGTGATCTCCGCATTCTCTGCGAGACCTTCATGCTCCTGCACTGAAGTTCGAGCGGGCGCTACCGGATGACACCTACATGCACGCGCAACGGCCGCTTCCTCGCATCCCTGCTGCTCAGCCTGCTCCAAGATTGTGATTTCGGAGGCCTCGACCACGCAGGAAAAGATCGGAAGCGGAGGACAGGGACAGCACGAGCCTTCGGGACCAGATCCTGGGCCAAGGCAGCGCTGAGCCAGTGGATCCTCTCGGGGCCGTTTCAGTTTCCCGAAACGGGGAGAGAGGGAATCGGAGGTGCACCTCTGCCGGCCCTTCAGAAGCAGATCGTCCCTTGGAGCCAGGAAGGCGCTGTCAGAAAGAGGCTGCCCGTCTGCGAAACTGTGCGAAAGATCGTTGCCATTGTTACCTCGTTACACTGCTTATCGTTCGGCTCTGATTTCGTTAAGTACCGGCACTGAGGATCCTGCTGCAGCAGGTCCAAGGCTATGGAGTCTCCGATGGTTCCTGCCATCATCCCAGCTGACGTCACCTGCGCCGCTAGAAAAGACCGGCGCATCCCGACGTTTTGCTCCGGCTCCAAGGGTCAGGCAGCGGCAAAACTCTGTTTCGCCCGTCGACGCAAAGAAAACGAGTTCAGAAGTACGCAGCAAAGCTAGCAAATCGACGGGCAGCAGAATGCGTGCTGCTGACTTCGATGGAGTGTATACTGGTTGGCTCATCATGGCATGCTAGCAGCTAGAAGCAGCACGCCCTAATCGTACGTCTAATGGAAGAGCTTTTGATGCCATAAACGCGCGTGTCACTTTGATATCTACCCTGCAGCCCTGCCCAGCACTCTTGGGGACGATCACTCACTCCTCATCACCGTTGTCCTTCGAATCGCGCTCGCAAATTTCAAAAAGTGCACGAAATGTCTCGCCAATCGTAAACGGCTGCGTGCCGACAGCTCTGTGACATGCACAACCTCGGCGTGTCGGGAGAAGGGAAAGAAAGGGAAAGACGATAAAGACTGGAACTCTCCTGGATCGCACCGTAGCCGCCTTGTCCGAGGCGTCCTAGACCTGGCGACTGGCCGGGCTGGACATTGGGAGTGCAAGTGAACATGTAGTACCGAGACCTTACATGGCCTTACTGCTATACTCACTCATATACTACTACAACGTAGTACAACTACCCCTACTTACAACACACCTTCAATCGCAAGGCAAAGAATTGTGCTTGGTACGTCGGTCACTTGAGATTTGGAACTCAATGGAGAGGCTGGCCAAGAACCAGAGATCTCAGACTTTGATCCCGTGCCGCTGCAGCAGATCTAAATCGGGTCGGCAGTGCATTTGTTTGCAGCCTCCCGAACGCTTGGGACTTCGTCCTGCAACACAAGAATCACAAGAACCAGGCTCCTTGCCGGTACTGACTCGACATGCCTGTTGCTGCCATTATTGCCAGCGCCCCTTCTCCCAATCCAATAAATTCGCATCCTCCTTCGACTTTTGCCACTTATCCAAATCCCACCACTCCCTTTCCTAGACTCCATTTCTGCGACTAGTGCTACCGCAAATACCACCACAGCTAACATGTAACATTACGACACACAACAGTGAGGGCTTTAGCCTGATAGCGGCCAGTAACTAGTACGCGTGTGCTGCTGCTGCTGCTGCTCCTGCCGCCGCCGCCGCCGCCGCCGCTGCTGCTGCTGCTGCATCTGCTGCTGCTGCTGCTGCTGCTGCTGCTGTTGCTGCTCTTGCAGCTGCAAATGCAAGCGCAACTGCTACCCCCACGACGACGACGACGACGACGACTGCGATTTCTACTGCACTGCTACTGCCACTGTACGGCACTGCTCTTACCGACTCTCACTTTGACTCCCAATCCTCCCCCTGCCCCTACCCCTGCTGCTGCTCCTCCTCCTCCTCCTCCTCCTCCTCCTGCTGCTGCTGCTGCTGCTACTGCTACTGCTACTGCTACTAACGATTACTCAACGGCGGCGACGACGACTATCACCACCAAGGCTTGTTCCAGTACCAGTACTGCTACTACTGCATTGCTACAGGCACCACCAATGTTGTTCTTATGCTCATGCCTCTTTTTGTTGCTGGTGCTATGACGATGGCGATGATTACGATGCGGCAGATGGGGAGGCTGAAGCAAATTATTGAAATGTTGCTGTTGATGGTGATGATGATGATGATGATGAGGAGGAAGAGGAGGAGGAGTTCTTCCATTGTGGTTATCCGTATCCTTAATAAGATGAGCATGACGCCACGAAGCGGGGCTCCCGTTGGTGCTGCTTGATAAGGTCCAGGAAGTTCATGCTTCTCTCCTGCGGCAAAGTACAAGTTCTGACACTTCGAAACCCTTGCCCCACCGTCTTCCTAGTTGAAGATGTGCTTTATTCCAGCAGTGTCGTGCCTCGAGAGCCGAGAGGGCTTCCATGGCCTTGGTGACTTCTCTGGACTTGCACACGCCCGCGCAGCTGAGCGGCCTGGCCATAGCCTTAGGCCCCAGCTGCCACGCGGACTTTCGGGTCTTCTCCTTCTGTCTTTAGCCTCTGAGCTATGACGGTGGTAAAGTACCGGCCTCGGCACCCCAATGCAACAGCGAAACAGCGGCACATGTGGGTACATGGGTATGTCACGGTATGTCTATAATATAACATTAGCAATCCGCCGAGGCCACAGGCCTCAGGCGTCTTGGGGGTTAACTCAGTCCCCTCCACCCCGTCCCCCCCACCCCCCGCCCCCCTCCCCTGCCCCGCTTGAGCATTACCGGGTTGTGCCACATTTCTGGTGTCGGGCACGCCGAGGCGGGCGGCGTAGCGTTAAAATTAACACACCTACATGCATGTAGGTGTGCATCCAGACATGCATATGTGTAGGCACACATACGAGTATTCACAAAAATATGAAGATGCATATATGTATAGATACATATATATATATATACACACACAAACACACGCCAACTTTGCAAGAAACAGGGGCAAACTGGCAACTTGCGCGCTAATACTCCAGACATGCCACATCATTTCACACGTCGATGCATCGATATGCCGCTGAAAGGAACACCGGTACGTGTTTTGGGCATATGCGCATATGTCGAAATGCCAGTGCGATCCCTCGACCTGATCATTGTAGAACCACTGCTAAGAACACCCAACACCCTAAGCCCAAAACCACAAGCCTGAAACCTGAGTGCGAAACCCTAACGAATCGAGGTGCAGCGCCAAGTTTGGGCAGGGTGGCCTCTTCATTCTAGAGTAAGGACTTCCCTGCACAGGGAACACCTTGATTCCTCAATCTACAACTTGCACATCACGGCCGTGCACAAGAGAAATGCACACCTTCGCATTCCCTACATTTTGCCCCAAACAATGCTCAAGCTTGAACAAGTTTTCACAACAGCATGTGTGCGTGCTCGCTGCTTTTTCGCGGAAATGTAATGATTCAAACTATCTGTGTGCTGGCTTAATTCTGCTCAGGACACAGCACTCGCACTGATGATCTGAACACGCAGTGACAAAGCTACATACTTACCTGTCCAAAAAATAGTTTCCCACGAGTAGATTGCGCCAGGGGGTGGACTGACTTTTCCACTAGTCAGTCATCTAAACGTTGCAGCCTGTGCGTTGCTCGGGCCCTTCCGCAAAACAAGCAATCTCTGAAAGGACAGTGCCTAAGCTGCCCTGCCATCGAGGGTTTAGGGTTGAGGGGCCTGATCTAACCATGTAGTATATACCTGCTTTGCCAGCCCTGCAGAACATCATGTTCTGACCCGCACGTCATCGCTTGCCGAGAATGCTTCTCTACTGGCAGTGCGCTGAGCACGTTGCTGTAGTCACATGCTTGCCAGTTGCATGCTGCTGGCTCAGAGCATAGCATCACGTGCCGGGCTAACGTTTCGCTGCGTGGGTGCGTCGGTCCAGTGCGTTGACAAGCAGGGACAGCACCACTTAACACGTCTCGCGGGGCTAGTGGGTGTCAAGCAGGGTTAGCTGTAGCTTGTATCACATGGTCATACGTATCATGCAGAGAAAGTGTTCCAGGCTTTCCTTTGGACGATCATCATAGACAGCCACCTTCAAGTTCGTGCAGGGAGTGAAGACTGACTGAGCCGATTGTCATGTGTGTCCTAGATAGGCTATCTCCGGCAATCTAATCCACATCGCGATTCCTTGGAGCTAAGGTCTTGACCTTTATCACTCATCTTCGAGAGCGCAGTCACAGCAGCAGCTCGGACATCTGCGCTGATGTCAGTTAGGAGGTCGAAAACCTAGCACCCAATCGATGTCTTGCGAGCAGACTCCCCTCGACTGAACGGGGCCTTGTTGCAATACTCTGCCCCATCGTCGCCCAGCCTGATTTGCGCAGTCGCAAGAACAAGTTCCTTGAATACGCACCCGTCAGAGAGAAGAGAATTGAGGCTCTGAGGCGCCATCTCGGCAAGTGCCAGAGCTGCAGCTGATTTCACGGCAGGACACGTGTCCTGTCCGCGAGGCCGTGAGGAGCTGCAAGAGTCTGGCATTGCTGCTTTGCTCCGTCCTTCAGGAGATCGGAAAGCTTGTTGAGGCCGATGCTCTCAAGTTCCCCTATTCTGGACAGCGCTGTGGCGGCCTGGCTGTGATTACAAATCAGCACGAAAGAAGCGACATTTAGGTGCGGCGCCTTTGCACGGATGATGTACTTCTCATCGCTCAGCTGGCCAACCACCTCACAGAAATGCGACTTCAGTCGCACCTGACTTCTGGCTTCACTGACTACCCCGAACATTACAATATTCCGGCCTTGTCCGTGCTTTCCCGCGCTCTCCTTCCTGCCATCGTCGAACCGATAGAGAGACATACGTGAAACCACGAAAGCCAAGTGCAAGCTGTGAACCAAGCGAGCGAGACCAAGAGCGGTCAAACACTCAAGGGCACAAAGCCTCACTTCCCAGTCGTCGCTACTCAGTAGCCTCGACCGGACGCAAGAAGAAGCCCCCTGCCCCAGGTCTCAATGCAATATTAAACAGCATCCCAGCCTTGCGACATCCGCGGCCGTGGATTCCCATCCGTATCCCTGTTCTTGGGATGCGATGCGCGCCAGCGCTGCCTCAAAGACCCCATAGACAAGCTCGTCCACAGACAAGTCCAACGGCACTCAGAGAATCTTGAGGCAAGTAAGACCGGAGCAGCTGCGGCACACTTGGCCTTTCTGCAAGAAGGAGGCAGTCGGGCTCTGCAACCACCTCCGCGTGTTTCAGGGGACTTCTGCACTTGTGACTCTGCATGGAATCAAGTTCAGCCTTGTGTGAGGGCATTTTCTGCATCCTCTTCGAACTCATCCATCAAGCAGTCCTACTCGCTGCTTGCCGGAGCTACACATGAAGGGACATGAAAATCGCGAGAAAGGGGACAACTTGTGACCGGACTCGACGTGTCTTCCACGCCAGCCTGGAGGAGCCCCTTGTGCGAGGCTGCATCTCGGCCCATGTAGCCTGACACCGTGTCAACACTCCGAATCCCTACAGAGACAAAACAAGAAGCTCCGCAGAGCAGCGAGCTAAGATCGTGCTGTAGAGGCACCTAGCGCAAGAACTGCAGCGAGCCGCTTCCGGCCATCCTTCAGGGCCCGCGACCCCAGCACCAAGACAGTCAGAGCGAGAGAAAATCGTCACAGGCACGAGGCTGGCTACAGAGAGCATCCTGCAATTCTCGGGAAAACTTGGTTCCCTTTGTTGTGGCATCAGCAAATACCTTAACTTTCCCCTCTTTGTGGACCCTGCAACAAGTTCTTGCCGGGGAGATCCTCATCTTTTGCGAGGTCGAGTATGCGGTTCATGGCCGCGGGAGTCTTAGTCCCAGATGCTTCAAGTTGCTGAAAGAGCTCGAAAGAACGAAAGGACTGCGATGCTGGCATCCTTCACATACTCCGACATCTTTCCGACCTGGCAGGAATGCTGGCTGTATGGCGCACTGGCTGGACTGACGCGCCAGCTCTACCACTGAGGCTGCGAGTGTGCGAGTTTCAGCATCTTCATCGCAAAGACATTCGACAACTTTCTCGCAGTACTTGCTGCCTCCGGTGCACGTGCACAGGCAGACTGAAAGCAAGGGTGGGGAGAGATGATGACAGGCATGCGAGCTGAGCCGGAGGCCTTCTGGTCCCATGAGGGCGAGAGCTTTGAGAGCATCGCTACGCGAGCGAGGCTCGCTTAGCCTAAGAAAGCCGCATCACACGGCCACGTCGTTGCAGTGTTGTAGTACACGTGGGTGAGGCCCAGGCTTCGGAACAATCATGTCCGCATATTTTGTTCCGGCTACTCCCATTCTCCTGCTTTTCAGTCTTTGACCGATCACGCTGTGCACGTCATCATGGGCTGAACTGGCCGGTGTTGCCCCAGCGCCAGGCAAGCAGCCCCCTGCACTTCGGGAGAAGGATCCTTGCGAATGAATATTGGAAAACTGTTGTTTGAGCTCAGGCTGCATGTTTCTGTATCTCAGGAAGCAGCCGCAAGCTTCTCTTTCAAGTCCTCCATGCAGTCCTCAGCCTGCTCAGAAGCACAAGGAGCCAACAATGCTGGAAGTCCCTGCAACAGACCTTTAAAGACTTGGACTTTGATCGGCATTGCTGTGCAGTATTCCTTTCAGAACTTGACGTCCGTAAAACCTTACTCTGAACATCTATGAACATGCCCGCTGCCTTCATGCCGCCCAGCGCAGAGCAGGCACCAAAGCGGACCGCTTCGGAGGAGTCTTGGAGAAGGCTCCGAATTTGACGCTTGGCTCCTGTGGCTGCAGGCAGCAGCAGATGCCAATTTGCCCATGAAGCCCACCCTCACCGGAAACGGGATGGTGGTGATGATGATGATGGTGATGATGATGACATGGTGTAAGAGCAACATGTGGCCACAACTGCAATGATGACAACACTACCAAGTAAGAATCCGAAGGAGCATAGCCCGACACAGTAATAACAGCAATCCACAAGATTGGTGATTCAGTGGCCTGATGCAGAGCTTCCCATCGTCCCGACAGCCAGGCAGCCCCAGTAGCGGACCTGACAATAGCAAAGGTCTCCAGATGCGAGTTCCTGCTGTGACTGCGAGTGGTTGCCTCGGGGTTGTTGTCGCTGATCAAATTGGCGATTTCCTTCAAGATCGGTCTCTCAAGCAACCATCCAACTTCCGGGTTGGAGCAACGAGCCATCGGCGTGGTAGAATGCAGCCGCGGCTGGCCCAGCAGCAATGACTGCTTTGCAAATCTGCAGCTGCGCCGAAGCACGGAAAGCGTGTAAAGGTCCACAACCGACTGAGGAACGGGCTGCTTGCTTCATTTCCTTACCCGGGCTTCGCTGCAGTTCTGAGACGATGAAGTCCTCCCACAGGATGCTCAGGGATGCTTTGAAGGCGTTTTTACTGGTAAGGCTCTGACCAAGTGAGAAACCACCACGGCTTCCCCCTGCATGCATGTTCATGACAAGAATTCTCGGCAGCTACCACTGGCGGAGTGCAGTTCAAGGCGGTCCTTCGCTGCGAGGTCGGAAATTGCCAGTGCCTGACAAACATGCGGCTGGGGTGCTGACCGATTAGCTAAGCAGCGGCCTTCTGCTCATCAGTCTTGTATGCAAGCTCGTAGGACAAGCGCTCCCTGCGAGAAGCGAGAACACATCACAGTGATCAGAGTGCTGGCAAGCTGCAGAGAAACGAGAGAGAGTGAGAGAGAGAGAGAGAGAGAGAGAGAGAGACAGACAGACAGCGAGGGCGGAGAGGGAGAGTGAGAGGGATGTGGTGTTTGTCTGTGTGTCTGTGTGTCACCGCGGCTAGCACTGGGGAAGCCCGTGGATTCCGTGCTGTTAGTTGCACACGCAAGTGTTCTTACCGGCTACTGCTTGCACCAGCACCAGCACCACCACGACCACCACCGACCATGAAACAACTGAACAACAGATGCTGCTGCCCCCCTGCTACTCAACATGTGAGGCTCAGTGACGCAACACCTGTACATGTTTCAGTTCATCACGGGAGGAGGCATGATGGCTTGCAATGTTTGCAACCTGTAATGGTGTGACTCGGTAGGGCCTTGTAAAGGCAGGTTCAACCTGCTGCGACTTGTCCGTCCCAGGCTGGCGCACTGCCTCAGAAAGAGCATCTTTCAATATCCTGCAGATCGCAGGGTATGAGATGGTCAAAGTCAAAGCTGTTCCAGAGGGCTGAGGCTGAAGCCAAGGCCATGGCTACCCTTGAGAAACTGCTTGGGGGGCAGTTTAGGCACCGACCCACCCCCCCCCCCCGGTTGAGCCGAGGCTGCCATGCGTCTCATTCTATCCTGCTGCGATGAGAGCTTCACATGATGAAACTCGAGACTCGGCAGACGCTCAGCATACCGAACACGCGCCCTGCCCTTGCACCTCCGCGATTCGGGCGGCGGTCGGCTCTTCAGCCTTCGCCAGACGGGTTTTGTCGAGGGAGGGGCTCCCTTCCAGGCTAGGTGTGTTTTCTGCAGACCTCCTTGCCCAACAGCTTGCGTGCCGCTGCTTCTTTGACCTTCCAGCAACAAGCTGGTGCCCACAACTGAAGCTCAGTAAGACATACGATGATCACCTTGGATATCCCGGCCGTCTGGGTAGCGAGCCTCCCGCAAGGTGGCGGACTGCGAAACGAAGACGACCACCTGAAACTGCAGAAGCAGCTAGCTGTATAGCTACAACCTCAAGCTGGAGCAGCTTTGTCCATGCCAGCTGGGCCGTTCCGTCAGGGAGCTGCGGTACACCGCTCAGCTCCACCCGAACCTCTGCCTGGCAGGGCGCAGGCAACGAGGCGACGAGGGGCCCATCGAAACAGGTCGCGAACACCACATCACGGAGGTCCGCTCCCAACCTGCAGTCAGGCGCCTCTACGCTCGGACGAGTACTGGGGAGGCGCTTTTAGGCACTGTAAGGCGTCGGCAGCAGGACTTCTCGGCGCGAGCCGATTAGTTCGTCATCTTTAAAGGACCTCATATGAGGCAACCGAGCTGGGTAGAACATGGTAGAGTGAATGGCAACTCTGCTTGACTATGATCCACGCGCAAAGGTCATGCCACTCTCAGGCATGTTCGTTTTTCGTAACTGGACAGGCGTCATCGAGACTTCTCTGCCATGAAGGAAGAAACCAACAAGATGAAGGCTGAGGTCATGGCCCGAGAGTCCAGATGAAATACCAGCCTTTCAAGGACACCACAATCAAGTACCTTGTACAACTCTGTTGTGAAGGCGTGACTAGCCGTGACTAGCCCTCTTCTGAGCTAACCCGGCTTTAGGGAGGCCGTGCGTTTCAGGCCCAGCTTCTCAGCAATAGCCTGCCGCAAGTCTGGCAAAGCGCTTCTTCAGCGCTCCCCGTGATGCTAGTCTTGCCTGCTTGAGGCGGCGCATCGTGGCATCTGCAGGGACGGCGACCTGCGCCACAGTCGCTCGTCGCGCCAGAAAATGCCAGCGAAAGTATGCGAAGTCTTACTTGCCTTCAAAGCTGGCGCCGGAGGCTCGTTGTCCTCTTCGACCGCCTGCCGTAACGTTATGACGACCTGACACGGACAGGTTTGGAGCTTGCTTTCATGCATGAGGTCTCGAGGCCACAGCTGGCGGTTTGGGACCACTCTTGCTTGGCACCTTCGAATTCTTCGGCTTCTCCGACTTCTCCTGCCAACATAGGCCAGGCTTGAGCGTATCATGCCTCTTTGCAAGCACTTGCGACCTTCGAGTCAGATGCCGAAGCCACGGCCTTTGCCTGCAAAGGGCACGAGAGCCAAGGCACAAGCATACAACCTGGTGGGGAGCACAGTTGCTAACAAGCCCGGCCTGAGCATCCTTCTTGGGCTTCACGGGGGCTGCGATCATCCCTCCTGAAATCCACGCCAGAGTCTGTGCGGTCCAGAACTGAGGCGACGGCATAGCTTACAGGGGCAATCTCTGCGTCGGGTGCAGCTTGCTTCTTTTGCTCCGCATGAGCATGCAGAGTCGACCTCTGTGATGGCTGAATGCTCCATATCTACGGCTCTTGGGGTTCACTTTCCTGCGGCTTGGCCAGCGGGTCTACATCAGAGATGTCAACACCCCGCTCTGTGGCAGCTTCCCGCAGGCGCATGATGTCGAGCTCAAGATCCCTAACTGCTCGATCCACATCACCGTTGTCCTGCTGGTACTGCTCGAACTCGCGAGTCAGCTTCCGCAGGTCGTTGCCACAAGAGATTTGGTCAAGCTTGCGCTTTTTGTTCACCTCCTCACGGGAAGCACGAAGCTCGGTGGCCTCGTTGTTGAGGACTCTCTCGGCACCACGAATGAGCATGTTGTGAGCGATCCAGGCCTTTTTCCCCCATTGCTCCAACAGCTCGAGGTTCACGGATTTTATTCTGGCATATTCCAAGTTGATCTGCGTTGTAGCGGAGACAGACTTCCAAGAATTCTCGTCTTCAGCTGCCTCGCCATCCGGCTTCTCTACCTCGTATTTCTTTGGATCAACAGCACCTAATGGGGCCCTTCGGCTGACCCTGGCAAACTCTTGTTGCATTTGCTCGCTGCTCAACACGGTGAGTGTGGGTGCTGGAAGTGATGCCAAGTAGTCACGCGGCTCAAATTGAGTCATCTCCTCCTCAATGAGAGCCTTCACTTGCTGAGCGACCTCTGCTGCACCCAGCTGCGTGTCTATGTAGGGCAGCGCATCGACAAGGGAGTAATGCTCGTTCTCCATGTACAGGAGCTCGCCATCCATGGCGGCACAGGCGTCCAAAGCCCTAAAGACGCCTGGGGCACTGACTGGTTCCTTTGTCTGCAGCCAAAGGCAAGGGGAATCAAAGAGCTGACATTGGCGAATGACAAACTGCGGCACGTGCTAGCGAGAACTTCTCGTTCCTGCTACTGACTGCGCTGCGGAAGCTTCCAAAAGCAAGCATGGAGCACCTGATGTGATCCGCAGGAGCTTGTCGATCTCCAAGCTGAGCTCATACACTTCTGGGGTATGCGCCACCTATCCAAGGGAGAGAGACAGAGAGATAGAGAGAGAGAGAGAGAGAGAGAGAGAGAGAGAGCGAGAGAGGGAAGTCGCCCCCCGGCAAGGGGACGGGCACCCACGTTGTCGCCACCCGCGAAGGTTAAGACGCAAGTGGGGCACGGCGCTCCGAAAACGTCATGGCACCATGCAGGGCAGGCATAGCAGCGGCACATGCAAGTCGGCAGGGGGGGGTTCTGGACAGGTCACGATACCAAACAGACAGAATTGATTCGCAATTGGCATCTCGCATTCCATGTGTCTTCATGACAACTTTGTCATACACTCTTCTGGTTCCATTTGCAAGACATGGCTCTGGTGACACACATTTCGACGAAACATCTGCATGGTGGGCACAAGGGACGGTTTAAAGTGCAGTAATCAAGGGTTACACAAAAGAGACTTGACCAACACAAGCAACATCCAAGCACGAATTGGACATGCAAGATCCCCTATCACACAAAACCAAACCGCCAAGAGCCCGGGAGAGTGACGTGAGAATGTCATCAACTGCGAAGACATTCAACTGCACAATACTGGGAGGAGTGCGTTGATTATTGTAGCACGTCAGGATTGTTGCATATGTGCCGAAAATCTGGGACACATACTGCCGCCACATTAGTTTCACTATGCCTGGTTTAGCTTGCGCGATCATAAGGTCATGAGGCTCAGCAACTCAGCAACGGCGCTTGCTAGAAAAAGGGCAAGCGAGTTGTCCCAAATCAGAATCAGGAAGCTCGTGACGACTACGATGGCGTGGTTGTCTTCCCGGTTCAGAGTGAGAGACTTGGCAAACGCAAGCATGGCTCGTGGTGGCAACGGCAGAGATACTTCAACAAGATCCTGCGTGTAATCGTACGCAATCAGTAACAGAGTGTGGCCGGGTGCTTCAGTGCCGAGGGAGACAAGCTCCAAGCACCAGATGCAGAGGGAACAGTGTTCCAGCACCGAGGGCAAGCACGCCACCAAGCAGCTACAGTAAATGATATGCCCGTATCGACCAAGCCGCCGCAGCAGAAAACGGCCCATAGGCGCAAGCAGGCCAGAGAGTAGCAGGGTAGAGAGCCAGCAGCAAGGCATCAACAACAATCCAATGCTATCCTGGACCGCTGGCTCAGCAAGTCATGCAGGAGGATTGATAGTCGTATAAACCTTGCCCAGAATACTGTACCGAACCCCAATGTGCAGGTGTGCAAACAAGCATGGCCGCAGTGTCAGCGAGTCCTAAGCTCAGTCAGCACACAATACTACAGCAGTAGCCTCAACCTGGACCACCTAATGAAAGGAGGCACAAGCTCGGTAATCAAGATCTACACTGTTGCCACCGTCTGGACAAGCATGCACCGCTGACGGATAGATACGGTAGAATAGTAGCAGTAGTTGATAAAGCCACCGTTGTCGTCATGCCGGGGACTCAATGTTCCTCGTCGGGCGCTCGCCCGAGTGCCACCGGGTGGGGAAAGGGGGGTGCTCCTCGAGTCACCCACGACTCTTAGTGCCGCCCCGCGGGTCCGCACCCTTTTCAGCACCAGCCCACCCAGCAAGGACAAGCACTAGGCTTTGGGGCCACCTATCAACTCAAGTTTGCCTCTGAGCACGTCTGGCAAATCTTTGCATGGCATCGTGCCTTGCCAAAGGCCGTCATCATGTTCTGTGCCGCAAAGTCGCCCTCAAAGCCCCACCTGCATGGCTGCGGCCGGGCGGCTTAGTTTGGTTAAGTCTCTCTGTCAAGTTTCGCTTCGTCGCACCTTGCCAGGGTGGCCTTCTGCGCGTCGCGGACCAGCTTTCCGAAGGCCTTCGCAAAAGCCAGCGTCACAGAGGCTCCGCGGGGTGTTTCGGTAAGCAAAGGTAAGCTCCGAAGACCCTCACTTATCTTAGACTCATCTTGCTTAAGATCTCCGACGCCTCCCGGAATTTCATCTGGGTGATCGACTCTGGCCTCACAGCGTTGTTGTGGCCCAGCGCGCTTTACACTTTCGGCCCTTCCATTCTGGGTCCGGGGCATTGGATACTCGGACAAGAGTGCCTCCAGCTTCTTCTGAAAGATCGCCCTCGATTCCAACGCGCACCAAAGAGATCCGTGCTGACCGGAGCATTCCGAGGTACGCACTCGCCATATGCAACGATCAACTCTCGCTGCAGCTGCAAGCCCTCCGCCAGACTCTGATTCATAGGCAAGTTTCACAAAAACTCCCGATTCCTGTTCCAAGCTGAAGTAAATCAGAACTCCGTTTCCGTGGATGTAGAGCATTCTCCTGGCGCAACGGGCATTTTCACAGGAATGTCGACCAGCCATTGTTGAACTCAAGGGGCTCCTGCCATTGAGCAGCTCCTCGCTTGGTAAAGCTTCGAAGCGACGAGAAGAGTACTTGCCCGCAGTCTTCTGCTGCCCAATCTGCAGCTCCTTCAGTGCACAGTGAAGCATCGCACGCCACATCTCCTACATGGCAGGGCCTTCTCCTTGACCTTCAGCTCCCTGGCGACCTCGACACTTGTGGAGCGGTATGTTTTGCTGGGTTGCCTACACTTGCCGCACATGAAGAAGCCTTCTTTCTGACTGTCTCCATGCTCGAAGTGTCCAGCACCTCAGGCAGCAAGCACACGAAAACATCCAGGTTACGAGGTTCCACCGTTCAATCTAGGACTCAACAGTGAGAGAATGACTGACATTCCGTGTAAAGCCTCAGCGAATCATGCTGGCGTCCGACGTTTACATGCCAGTCTAAACCCTGTTCAACAAGAACCAAACTTGCACCGGCACGGAATACAACAGATCTCTGGAACGCCCATTCTTTCTGGAGAACATTCCTGAGTTCACCACCTCCACCTGCATCCTGGCTCCTGACCGATGGTCCTTCACCTCTCAAGCGCGGACATGTCTCCATGCAGATGCCGGAGAGGAGAGCGCAGCCTCCACCTTCACAGTCTTGGGTGGGCCAAGGGAGATGCCAATGCAGTGGAGCTCCTCTTGGACTCTTCGGAGGGTTTAGGTAGGCATTTCCTTTCACGAGGACTGGGACGCTGGAGCCTGATTGGCGGCAAAGCGATGATCATCTCCGAGGATGCATCCGCTACTGTCGCAAATGTCGATGCACTCCGGCCTGCAATCAGCGCACCAGCGATGCTGCTATCATAACTGCATGAGTCCTTGAGGCCAACACGGTCCCCGCTTGACTTTCTTGCAGAGGGCCCGCTTCAGGCCCATGACACTCCTTGCAGAAGCACTGCTGGACCCGTTTTCTCAACAGGGCTGGAATCTGTGAGCGGTCATGAGCGGGCCCTTGAAATTAAGCATCCCACGTTCCACGATTCATCGACATGCGAATCTCTTCGCCATGGACTGCATGCGACACCTTCAGCTTGAAACCAAGACGGTCTCGGTTAATGTCGAAGTTGGGAGAGTGCAAAATGTTCACTTGGACCCCTGCAGTGAGAACCACCTCATGCATGTTCACCAACATTGCTCGACCAGCGCAGACCGAACTTTGCTGCAGCGCTCGTTTTGCCCCTGGCCTCTGCTTTAGACGTTCCCGCGCCTGGAAGCGCGAGTGAGGTTTGGACTGGAGTGGATCTGTGGAGGCCTCGTGGGAGCTGGCCTCCTGGCCAATGCTCCTTGGAGGCTCAGGGCATTCAAAGCCGGGAGGTCCACCACAACTCTGCGAAACTCTCGCACCAAGAAGCTCTCTGGGATGCAGGAGCTGTGGTCCTTGGCCTTGGCAACGTAAGCCGGCGCGGTCGAGCCGTCGCTTCAAACGATCGAGGCTCACGTTGAGCCATGGACCCTGATGGCTTTGGAGACGCTGCTGCCGCCTTTCCGCTGGCCCTTTGACGTGTGTGCATGAGCGTGGGGCAATATCAGCACAGCAGAGGAGTCGCTCTTTTGAATGCCGGTGATCTTGGGGCAGCGCTTGGCCGTGTGGTTGTACGAAGATCTTTTGCCTGCCATGCTCGGCATACACATACACACTTCAAGCGCAGAAAGCATTCAACAACAAATATGATGTGACCCAAACCTTCGTCACCAAGAACTTCATAGGCTGAGGACACCAGCTTGAAGGCAGCCTGATGCGGAATTACGAGTCTCAGCAGAACCCTCAGCCGCACCTTTACAGCACCCATGCCTCTGCCTGTGCAACCAAGTCTTCTTCTTCTTTGCCACCCGATGTGACCTGTGTAACCCCCACTGTCACCATCATTCAAAGCTGCATCACCGAAGACGTCGAACTGGCCTTGTCTGGATGGATACGCAGTGCGATTTGACGGTAAGCATTGCGAATGTCCTTGGGGTTTGAGGACCCGTCTGGAGACTCATCGACGCATCGATCATGGCATGTCATGCAAGCCTTCGCCGCCGCCGATGAGCGTACGCCCAGGGTCTCGTACAAGTTCCGCGCCTTTTTCACCTGTTCAAAGTGTGGAAGACGACCTCCGGTCAACCCCTTAGCGTGATCTTCTATACTTCAGAAGTCGAGTGAAGCCGAGAACACCAGTGGTGGACATATGAGCAGTGGATGCAGTCGCATACTTGCCAACCGCCCGTGGCAATATGAGGTGATCGAAACTAAACTCCCTGAACCAAACTGTTCGAGTTGACCCTGACCTACCATCCTGCTCGATTGCAGAAGCACAAACCGAAGCATGGACATGCCTTGCCTGCTCGATGACATACCGTGCCTTGCTCTTGCCAACCTGGACAGAAACACATGCCATGCCAGCCCATGTACTGCACAGAGCCTTGTTTTGCTGAGTGCCCCACTGGCGCATCATCAGGCTGCCAAGGAACACACGGCAGCCTGGGATGTGGTCTTGCCATCTGTTCGGGTCTTGATGGCTTTTGCAGGTCTCTCTCCACGATACATCTCCTGAAGTCTGAATTCACGTCTGGCTGCTCCGCTGGCATAATCGGCTTTGGTTTTGAGACCTGTTGCTGGCGGCGCTGGCCTTCTCGCTGCCTTGCGAGTCAATTCACTCTCGGGCATGTACCGCGCATGTGCAGATGAGATCAGCTGACCATGCTGACCATATGCCTGCGCTCGTTGTCTTTGGCCCACTGCGCCCGCGACTTCCTCACATAGAACGCCGGCAATTAAGACTGGATTGAAAGTCTGACGCTCGACGATCAAAACCGATACAGATGCAATCAGCGGGGTTCACACCGCA